AGATTATTTGAGAACATTTTTATACCTGCATTAAATTATTGAGAAATTTCAATGTATTATTATGATTTAAAAAAAAAAAAAAAAAAAAAAGAAATTGATGAAAAAAAAAAAAAAAGGTTTAAACGTAAAAGAATAAATTTTGCTAAAAAATATTTTAATGATTTATTTGAAATTAAATATTTTCAAAGTTTTTCTTGACTATATTTAACCATTTTTTTTTTTATTTTGGTTTTCATTTAAGCATGAATTGCGTGCTGATAGATTAGAAGCTAAAGTATATTTAAAGTGGTCAGCAAATATTGGTATTAAAAATCGAGTAAAAATTGTGCTTGAAAATGGATATTCATGTAATGCACCTGCATGTTTACTTACTGCATTCTCGAATATCTTTCGCAAACTTATTTCAGCACAAGTAAATTTTAATTGAATTAATTAATATTTGTTGTACAAAATTTGTAATTATTTAAATATTTGGTCATTTCCTTTTTTAAAATATATATATATAATTAAACTAATGAAAGTTAAATAACTTTAAATGGGTAACTATCCTAGAAAGATTATATTTAGGCAACACAGGAAACACTTTCATCGGGTAAAGAAATCACAGTTCATTTAAATGGTATGCCAAATATTACGAATGCCGGTCTCTATAATGTGGTAGCTTTCATTCAAAGTGGACAAATCAAATTTTTAGAAAGTGAATTAGAGAATGTTCTAATAGCAGCTAATGATCTTCAAGTAAGTATATTAAAGTTAACTTAATAATAAAGAATTTAGGAATTAAAATAATGCTTTTTTTAAAAAAAGAAAAAAAAAAAAAAGATGAAATCAAGAAAGAAACAGTTGACAAAGTCAAATGTATCAAAAATAGGCGAAACGAAGAATTGATAAGCTAATAGGTAATCAAGATAAAACCAATACAGATGGAACAAAATGACTGAATTCTGAAAATATACCTTAACAAAAAATTTTTAAATGATATAGAAAAAAAATTATAGTGATTCAATAGAGGCAAATAATCTTTTTAATAATTAAAATAAATGACAAGCAAATCTTTCTATCCAATAAAATTATAGTTATGATCAGTAGATATGATTGTGTTTGCAGTAAAAAAGTTTTCAGGTGACTTCATTGGTATCATTAATTTGTGAAGAAATGACTGAACGCATATTAGAAAATACATCACCACCAATTTCATTACTTTACTCTGCTATTGCTTGTTTACCTCCGTTTGTTTAATTAATTTTTTCATTTTAAATCATATAATCAGGTGTATATATCAATGTTTACCTGTTTATAGCTTCAAAGCTTCTAGCAGATTTTGTCATCTTTTAATAGAAAAAGAACAAGTCTAATTGCTGCACGAAATTTTGTTATAATCTTGAATGAGACAATAATATTATTCTCAAAAAAAAAATTATTTTATCGTAATTTTTTTTTTATCATTAATTTTTATCTTACATTTAGACAATCACAATATCGTAATATGGTTGTTGATGGTGCAGCAATAAAATTTCATGATATTCTGGCAAGCCCAAAATTTTCAGAAGTAAAAAAAAAAAGAAAAGAAATAATTTCTTTTCTATATTTTTTTGTTTTGTTTTTGTTTGTTTTCATTATTATTTCAAAGCAATTAACTAAATGTAAAAATTTTTTTTTTTACATTTAATTAAAGAAAAAAAAAATGGAAAAGTTGCTCAAATTTAAAAGAATTAATATTCTTCTTCTTCTCTCTCTCTCTCTCTCTCTCTCTCTCTCTCTCTCTCCTTTTCCTTTCCTTTTTTTTTTAGTTATCATTCGAATTGCTTTACGCACTTATTTCTTCACCAGTATTACAAGGACCTCAATGGGTATTAGAAATTTATGAAGCGATCATATTTTGGCTTCAAAATAATCCTGAACATATTTGTTATGCGTCAGCTCTTTTGGATAATGTTAATTTCAAGGAAATTATTCATGTGGCTGATAATGTTTGCTATTTATTTCCTTCCTATTTGCTTCATTTAATTTTTTTTTTTTTTTTTTTTTAAAAAAAACTTGGGATTATAAGGATTATTAAAGAAATGGCAGATAAATTATTCCAATTAAATTTTTATAAATTCGAAAAAAAAAAATTGTTTTTTTAAAATTTTTCTAGCGTCAAGAAATAATGAAGAAATCATTGGAGGTGCCAGATTTGGGACCAATTGTGCAACTCTTTTTAATGGATGCAGTTTATGCCAAATTTATGGTTTTCACTTGTTTTATTTTTTGAATTTTTTAACAAATATGTCAATTTCATAATATGAAAAGAAAAATTTGCAATCATTTAAATTTGTACATTGCAAATGTTTGCGAAACAAACAAAAAAAAAAAAAAAAAAAAAAAAAATCAATTTTATAAGTATATGATTAAAATTAAATATTAAAAATTTAGAATAAAATAGCTACCTAAAATTTAAAAATTATAGGATGGTTTGACGTCACCAGAAAATCGCAATCAACCATTATCATCGCCCATCTATACGGTGTCTGGTGCAGAAAATGCAGTTACACCAACTCCATTAAGAGGAACATTAGGATTAGCACCATCACCTCTTGGATCATATATCATTCCACCTTTTGATTCGGTATCATCTGCAACAACCAGAAGTATTAGTAATGAAACATCCGTATCAGTTAACAAAAATTGGCGTCCAGCTCAACAGCTTCCAATAGGATCTGGTAGTTGTTAACAGTTTTTAAAACAATCTTACGTAATTTACCCAACCTAGGAAAAAACTAGTGATAGTAGACGAGAACTTTGGGCTGAAATTTTAGCTCAACAATCAAAGCATGTCTAAAAGTGGACATGTAACAGGTGAAATGATTCCACTCCAAAGTAGCACTGCTCCCTCAATATTACCACCAAAAAGCTCTCGTGATTCGATTTGTACGGTAATTACAGCACATAATGATCCGGTACTCATCTACTCAAATGTTCCTATTACTACTGCTGCTGCTAGCGATGGTACTGCTGGTGCTATCGGTGGTTGTGCTATCGGTGGTGGTGCTATTGGCGATGGTGCTACTGGTGGCGGTAGGGGTGAACAGGAAGGATCAGGCGCTATCAAAAGCTCTCCAACACTAGAATCAGCTGAAATTCGAACAAGTAGCAGTCAAGAATCGGAATCAAGTTCGAAACGACGACCTAAATTTGAGCAAATCCTATTACGAACTGAACCACCAGGAAGTCGCAAAGAATTACGTAAGAAACGACAGGCACGTGAAAAAACTGACACGAAGTGATTAGAAATGATTTTTTTCATTTTTGTTTTGTTTTGTGAAAAACATTTAAATATATGAATTTAAATGCATATTTCTTGTTTAATTTTAAAATAAAAAAAAGAAAATAATAAAATGATTAGATTGGAAAAGGTACAAGAAATTAACTTAAATAATGCTTAATTAATTTAAACATTTTCTAAACTGACAATAAATAAATTTAATAATTAAATTATTGCAAGAAAAGACAAAAGCTATTTGTTATCTAAGTGAAAACAAACAACAAAATTAATAAAAAAAAAAAGAAAAACCGATATCATTTTTAATTGATTTTTATTTTAATCTTACTTTTTGAAAATAAAATAAAAGAAAAAAAAATTTTTTTTCTTTATTAAAAAATACAAACTTAATATTAAAACAGAAAATTTGATGCTAAAAGCAAAAAGTTTAATGCCAGTTTTGACACATAATTTTATTTTACATTTACTTCAATTTTATATACTTATTATTATTATTATTTTTATTGATATGTTAATATTGATTTTTATTGATATGTTAATTTCAAGGAAATTATTCATGTGGCTGATAATGTTTGCTATTTATTTCCTTCCTATTTGCTTCATTTAATTTTTTTTTTTTTTAAAAAAAAACTTGGGATTATAAGGATTATTAAAGAAATGGCAGATAAATTATTCAAATTAAATTTTTATAAATTCGAAAAAAAAAATTGTTTTTTTTAAAATTTTTCTAGCGTCAAGAAATAATGAAGAAATCATTGGAGGTGCCAGATTTGGGACCAATTGTGCAACTCTTTTTAATGAAGAATCGAAACGAAGAATCGAAATTCAAAATTTTAATTCATCAATTGAAAATTACATATAAAACTTTAAGTTCATCATTTCGTGTCAAACAATATTCTTTATTAGCCTTATAGTAATGTTAGCAAATTTTTAAAAATTTGATAAAAAGATGACTCATCAGATATATTTAAACTTAGCTATTATTAATTTCTTTCTGCAAAAATGAAAGAAAGTTTAAAAAGATTAATTGAATTTGAAAAATATTGTGATGCAGACACTATAAGTACGAAAACATTGTAGCAAAAAAAAAGAAAAAGAAAATGTAATTGTGTCAGTGACTGAGAATAAGAAGAAAAATGATAAAATTTGGAGAACGGAAATTGATGAGATTTATGAGATAGTATATAGCGATAAGTGAGAAAAGACAACAAAACTATTAGAGTAGCAGCGTTCATTGCTACTTAAATTCAACGGATCTATTCGCATATTTCGACTTTTTTCGATTTTACGTGACGTTCACGTGGTCGTACGCTCTGTAGCTGTGATTACTTTATGGCAGTTATTATTGTGTGGTTTTTTTTTCTTCTATAACAATGCCTTTCGTCATAATTACGTCATAACTTTACTATATTTAGCATTTATTTAATTACACGGCTAGGCTATTTATAGTTTTTGCAATAATGTAATTAATTCAATACTAATATGATTTCAGTAATTTAATTCATACAATTAATATAATGTAATTATTTGGTTACCATCACATAAATATATAACAATTGAGTAATTGTGTTAGTTATGCTTTTTTATTCACACAATAATGCCTTTTTATTCATAGAATAATAGATATCGACGATCACATGTATATTAGTTGTCAGTACATTGTTAAATTGAAAATTGTTTATGGTGAAATTTTAGATGATGAATTAATGCTAAATTTAATCAGTTACGAAATGCAATAATGGATATCAGTGAGAATGAGGAAAATGTGATACAAACGAAGGAGATCTATTCGATAAGGTTTGATTCGACGGATATCGACGATCATATACATTGCGCGTTTTGCTTCTGTGTTGATTGTCAGTACAATCGCTGTGCATTGCGTTCATGTCCCGAATGTCACGCAGTTTTGCATGGTTGTAAACTTGAAGATCATTTGCTAATTTGTGCTAAGGTTAGATTATTTTTATTTGATAAATTAGTTCTGTATATGAAGTTGTCAAGCTTTATTGAATTAGGCAAATTCCGAAAATGACAATTATACATGTAAGACGTAATCGTATGAATTAATCAGAACTGAAAATTTGATGGATAATGCCTTTATCTATCTTCAGGAATAGATATGAAGTAATTTGATAGTTAAGGTGGAAAAAACTGATGCATAGATGTTTTCAGCGACAATTTTTGCTATTTTGTAAAGATGTGTTTGCTGAATGTATTAAGCCTAAAAATGAATGGGAAGTGAATATTAAAAATTGATGAGAAAGATTTACTGTAGTTATATTTGTTATATTTGGCCTTCTTTGAAAACATTATCAAATATTAGGGAAAGCGTTGTTGTCTAATTCAATATTGGATACTCTTAGTACCCATTACGATTTCTACGTTTCATAGTGTATTTAATTATGATCATTGGTCTAGTTTTAGATAACAATACAGCTAATGCCTTTTAGAGACCGTAACAAAATATGCATTTGCATGAAAATTTTAAATTCGTAAAATTACTGGATCATTTTTGAATGCTGTTATGATTTAAGGCCTACGTTTCGTGCTTATGCGCAGCATTCGGTTGTCCAGTATTGTTACGACGTGATCGAATGTCACAGCATTTAAAGCATTGCTGTGCATCCGCAATATGTTGTGCGGTACAATGGAATAGACGAACGCTTAGTAATCACGCAAAACGTAAACTGAAACGTTTTGCAAAAGGTCTGGAACAATGGAAAGTGGAACCTGAAATAGATGACCGTGAAATTGATGTTTGTGCCGCACTGGTTGATCAGGTTTCTTTTCACGTCGGCTTACTACATTGAGATGGATTTAGATGTCAATTGACAAGAGTCAGTTTGTTTGCTTGAAGGTTTTGTTGTTGCAGAATTAGCATTCATTTTATATTTTAATTTTTTAATTTGCGGTTGTCTTTTAGTGAAAAATATTCTGTATTTTTCTTTTTCCTTTTTTTTTTAGGAAGCAGTTGTCGATTCTTATCAGATAAGTCGCAAAGACCGGAAACGTCTAACAGATTTCCAGAATCCATGTCATCCACTGATGCCACTGAGGTTATCGCTTGAAAAGTTATCTCGTTTTGCAGACGAAGACAGCAGTGACGAAGAAAACAGACAAAAGGTTTCCTGAAAAGCCTTTAGTTATAACTTAGTTTTCAGATTCAGATTGTCTGTCTGAGGTAATTCTATACATGTTTTAATGTACTAATGATAGTAATGTCGATGGATGCAATATAGAAGTTGAAAGATGGAGATATATTGAAAAATATAACTTATTATTCACTATACGTTTATTTCTATAGCTGTAAGTGATATGAAAATATCAAAAAAGCCCATCCATCTATTGATTGAAGGTGATAGTGAAATATAGACTAATATTATAATGTACAAGGATTTCATATATTCACTTGATTGATTTTCAGGAAATTCAGTTGAAACTTAAACGTTCTCCATTTGAAAATTGTTATTTGTGCAGACTTGATCCAGCTAGTCAGCATCTTCATGTATTAGGTAATATCAGTTTCGAAGAAAATGAAAAAACTCCGGTGGAAGTGATACCGCCAGTTAAAGTGTCACTTTTGCCTCCCTTCTACGAAATGAGGCATTTATGCGTAAGTTTTAAGAAGTAATATCTTCACCTATGAATGGCACATTTAATTTATTTAGCTTATGCATTGTCTTATCCAAAATCATTACCGATATATTTTCTGTTAGATGTACAGTATTTAAGAATCTGAATTCTACATTTTAATATGATCGCAAGAAAAAAGATTTTCTTATTTATTATCATTAGCAATAAGCAAAGCAATAAGTTACGGATCATTGAAAGCAATAAGTTAGGAATCATTGATAAGCTTGGAATTTCTATTAATTAAAAAAGTATAATAGTGAATTATCAATTATTATCTTTATTCATTATTTTCTATTTATAACGATTACATTTCAATATATATATATATCGAACTTCCTTCTGTTGTGAGATATATTTACTATTACATATTGTTTTCTCTGCTAATCTTGAACGCATATAATTTTAATTAACATTATAGCTGAATATTGGACGTGAACGTTTTTCGGTATTCGCACGAAAAGGTGAGAATATGCCATATGTTCAGAAAGGAATTTCGATATATACATTTTGCTGTAACGAAAGCTTTCGTCGTGATGAATATTGTACACATTATGAATTATCACATATGGGAATTGATGACTGCATAGTACGTTGTCCGATGTATATCGATGGATGCCCATTCTATTATTGCAAAGCTAAACCATGCTGGGGCGAATTAAGGTTTTTTGTTTGTTTATGTGTTATTTGGTCTTAAATTTGCTATCATTTATGTTTTTCATTACTGAAAACTTAGTTGTGATAACTCTGATTGTCTCTGGGATAAACGGCCTAAAAAGTCTCATATGTAATCAAATTCTTTACATTAGATTAATTGCTATTAAAAGATGCGTTAATAAGGTAATTTATGTTCATATTTTATAGCAGTTTTTGGTTTTTATAATTTTTCTCTTGTGTTACAAGGATAATTCTTTTCTTTGTTTTGAGATTAAAGATTTTTATGTTATTGATTAAAAAAAAAGTTTGCTTCATTTCATTCTTTCCAAAAAAAATTGTTTTTTTTTTTTTTTTGTTAAAACAGGTATAATCGCTATCTGAATTGTGTTGTTCATCGTCCACCCGAACCATCGGTTGTACGATCTAAGGGCTCACCATTGTATGATTTGCCACCAATAATGCTAATTGAAATTTTTCAATATTTGGATAGTGCATCATTGCGTTGTTTATCATCAACATGTAAACATATGCGATTGATGTGTTTCAAAATTGCTTCTGATTCTGCAATGGTACACATCAAATGGGAACGATCCGAAAGTGGAAATTGGTCAGAAAAATGTTTTGTAAGTTATTTCAAATTTGAATTTCATGAAAGCGATTGCATCGTATTATTTGTATTATTTGAGAGAAGCCGCTTTCCCCTAACTTTTTTTTCTAATACCGTCGTCAGAGTACAACTTTGCATAAAATAAATCGCTGTTATTTTCTCTGGGCTTATGAACAAAGCTGATGAATAAGTTAAGAACATGTATCAAATTTATGTGTGATTAGTTTTTATATAGGTATTTGGTCGAAACATTTATAGGATGCTGTAGAATTTATTAATTTGTAGTGATTAGAGAAGACGCCATATCAGGTAGATGCTTCTCTTTTTCAATTTTTTGCTTCCTATTTAATTATTTATCTAAGCTTATTCTCTAAACTGTTCTTTAATTAAAGACGGTAATCTCTATTTTATATTTCAGGACAAAATTTTATGAAAATACTTTCAATATTCTACATCAAATTAAAGGATTTTTTCTTTATAGATATGGGAATTCAGTAAATGTCAAAAGCGAATTAATAAATGGAAGAATGCGAGTACGACTGTCTTAAGCAGTCATTTGTCTGATTGTAAATTTAATGTTCCGGAAAAATTCAATCATAATCGTATCGCTTTACTTCCAGCTGTCAGACAGTCATTTTCGGAAACGATTCATCCTATTGGAGGTCGAAATCAACGCCGTATCGAGCAAATTGTGCAGTCTATTAGGCTTTGATTATTTCTTCGTGTATTTCTAGTGATACACACAAATAGCATAGTTTGTTTCGAAATTGTAAATTCTGCATCTTTTCATATGTTAACAGCCTTATTGAATTTTTAAAATTCGTTAAAAAACGCACAAAAATGATCAGCAAAAATTCCTTGTTTTTTTTTTTTTTTTTGCGTCTAACTATCTTGAAAAGAAATTAAGTTTCGACTTTTAGTACGAGTGTTTTAATGTCCCTTTCACTTTTGCTTTTTGAGATTCTTGAATTTTTTTAATAGACGCATGAAAGAAAAAGAGGGATATATTTTGCACTGCCTTTTATAGCAGTAAATGTTTAATGAAGAAAAGTGTGCAATTTTAGGTGCTAAGAATCATTCTGCATTTTATCATTATTATTATTTTTTTCTTCTACTATAGTAGGGTGTTATTTTTGATCTGTTTTTCGCTCGGCAGGTATTCAACAGGAAGTGCCATTGATAAACAAAATTCGGTTCAAATTCGTGTTTTGAATATTACAAAAAAAAAAAAATTATGATTTTTCTTAGCTTTTCTTCTTTTATTGACAGAGAAATGTTGGAAAAATTTCGTAGACAACTATAAATTATTTTCATTTAATTTAATGTTCAAACTTAATTCAGAAGTTAAATTTTCAACTTTATGTTTTGTTGAAAATATTCCGGTTCTATTACTTTTGTCAATTATTTCTCTTTTTCATCGTTTTGTATGCCTGCCTGTGTTTATTGTGCTTGTGATTTCATTCGAATCTCGGGTAATTTTTTTATAATTCTATTGAAATGAAATTGGAAGAAAAATATTAAAACTTTCTCTTCCCTTTTATTATATTGCATCATTAAATTATATTAAAAAAAATATTATTTTAACAAACACTACATAATTTCCTTCATTTTGTCATGCAACCCTAATTCTACGAAACCAATTTCTCACCTATCAAATTTCTTTTAATTTTTGTTTTTCAAATTAAATTTTTTTAGAAAAATTTTTTGGGAAAATTTGAGGCTTCTTTAGATATACATAGATATACTTTAATATGCAATTCTACATTTGTTGATGGAAGATGCTATTAGAAAAGTCACTCAAGCAATAATCATCGAAGCCATCGAATAAGCTTTTATTATTCCTACTGACCTTCTGTTAGCGATCATTAAAATTGACCTCTTAATTAAGAGTATTCTCACCTGCTAAGAATATTATCAGATTCATTCGGTGTAGTTTGATTTTGTGACTAATGATAGTGGTGTATACCATATTACTGTTTATTTCATCTTGACTCACCTATGTTGATTTATCTTCGAAGCGTAATCAAGTAAACATAGCACACACGCAGTCGATCATATTCAATTTCTTCGCTCAATTTTATTATTTTAATTAAAAAACGAAAAAAAAAAACAACCAAAGTGCATTTAATTCATCACAGAAAAGACTGGTAAGTAAATATAAAATAACACAAATTCAAAAATGTTAAGTCCATATAAATTTTGATATAAAATTTTGTCATTTAGCAATGTTTTTTTCTTCCTCGACATGCATTTCTTATTTATTTATTTTTTTTGAAATCAGGAAGAATTAGAAAAAAATTAAACTTAAAAGAATTTCCTTTTGCTACATTTATTTTACCATTCTCACTTTTCATTCTTTTTCGTATTCTTAGCTTTATTAAAATTACCGGAAAAAGTCTCAGAAAAAAAAAAAAAAAGAAATAATAGAGGAAAATGTGATGAATTCGAAAGATTTCATTTCTTTCTCTTTTTATTAATTTATTTTTTATTATATCACATTTATTAATAATATTAAATTAACTAACGATGTAATATATTTCGCCCAAAAAACAAAAAAAAAAAAAAAAAAAGAGAAAATGGGTTCTCTATTTTAGTATTGCTTTTTTTGGCCTTCAAAAAACTTGTTCTTTTTTTAATTTTTCAAATTTTAATTCACTTTTTTCTTTCTATTTCTTTTTTTTTTTTGAACACATGAAGAAAAAGTCATGTATAGATTTAAAAAAATAAAATGCGAAAATTCAATAGTGAGAAAGCGAAACTTTAGTAAGAAATATAATTAAGCTAAATTAATTAAACAATGACAATTTAATTGATTTTAAAATACATAATGAAAATTTTAAACAATATATTTATTATAATGAGAGAATTTCTATTTGAAATAAATAATTACTAAAAAGTATGATTGAACGGATTGATCGTTAACATTTCTATCATTTCATTACATTTTACAAATATTTCACCATTATTGTTTACTTTCACTTTTACCACTTATTTTTTTTTTTTAATTTTTATTTTTAATTTCTTATTTTTTCTATTTTCTTCCTTTTTTTAATGCTCTCTTTGTCAACAAACACACAAACACACACAAATATTTATGTATACTATCATTTTAGTGGAACATTAACCGAATTTTTTTTTTCCAATTTGTTCTTCTCGTCTGTTCCTTTTTCACTAATCATATATCAATGAGAAGAAACAAAAATGAAATCAATTAAAAAATTTCTTTGAACTAAGTCAAAAATGTTTTAATTTTTCCACTTTTGATATTGAAAAAAGAATTCGTTACCTTTTAGCCTTATAATTTGCAATTAATTTGATATATAAATGAGAATAATATGTATTTTACATTTAATTTAATTATTTTATATGATAATTTAATTTGTTGTGCAGTTAAATACTAATGAAACTTATTGAAAAAAATATTTTTAAAGTTATTTCATAACAATTTTTATTCCGTTTTATAATTCAACGTTATTAATATTTGCTAATTTATTATTGTTTACGTCTTTTATCATTGTTTAATTATTATTATTATTTGTTATTTATATCAATATTAATAAAATATCAATATTTCCTATAAATTTCAAAAAATTACAGTTATGTTTATGAACAAAATATAAATATTTCCTATAAATTTTAAAAATGATTTTATTTAAAATAACAAAAAAAAAATAGTGCAATTTTTTTTTTTTTTTTGCAAAGATGTTTTATTAATGATTTACCAACATGAGACGTAATTTTGTTTAAAATTTGCAAAAAAAAAAAAAAAAAAAGAGTAATTGGCGTAATTTCTTCCCTTTACAATGATATTTTATTAATGAACCAACTTTTTTTTATTTTAATTTTTTTTTAAATAAAATTTAATGATAAATACCGTCGTTTTTGTTCGTAATTTTGACAAAATTATGTTATCTTGGTTGAAAATTTACGTTCGAGAGGATGCATTTCAATAGTTTCAATCATTCCTAAAATTGTCTCTTTTTTTTTTTTTTTTTTTTAAATCAGTTCATCGTAAAAAATTACCTATTTTTCGTAAAACTCTTCATTTAAAAACCTCATTATTTTTTTTTTTCATTTTTCATTATTTTCATTTTCATTAAATGAATATGCAAGAAATGAATAACAAAATTGTTTAGGAAAAAATATTATCTTGCTAGAACGAATTATGAAAAGTGAGCTAACTTTTTTTACCTATCTTTCATAAAATTATCTGACACTATGAAAGGTAATAACTTACCTGGGAGATTCGGCTGCAAATGAGTTCTCATGAACTATTGATTAGCAATTTTTCAAAAGCTTGTCTAATTAATTTACAGTAAATCTAAAATGATTGTATTTTTGCTCGTTATATATCAACAAGTAATCATAAATTGTTAAATCTAAAAACTGATAGTGTAAATTGAAATGTTTTGAAAAATTTAATGTGGTTTTGTGTAGGATTTTATCAATAAAAAATAAGCAAAAAATTTTTTGAAAAAAATTGCAATTGTTTTCTTGTGACAATTAAAATAGTTTATTTTGTTATTTGAATTGTTTAAACGAATTTTATTGTTCATATTCTGATTCAATCTTTTAATTTATAATTTAAATTATGCGTACATATTTTGAAAATATTATAATGGAAAGCTACGAAAATTTCTTTGCTAGTATTTGTTCCATACTACACTTTTGTCAAATTTACTTCATTTTATAGTATTGAATTAACTTTGTCTGCTATTTTATTTTATTCAGAATGCAAAATTTAGTTTTCGTTGACGAAATTCTTCAATTTCTATTATTATCAATAATTAAACTTCATCTTCAATTAATGAAGTTGCCCAAATTAGATAATCCTTATGAATCCAGTCGAATAATATATCATTAAAAGTGAATTACATAAGTAAAAATATTTGTGCAGAAAATTCGCAATTGTTGCATTTTTATGACATAATCGCTTATTTTTTAAAACAAAAGAAAAAACAAATACAATTACAATATTTATATATTGTGTTTTTACAAAGTAAGTAAATATAATTCTGTGTAAAATACAAAAAAATTGCACCATGTTTACATTATTTGTTTTCATAGGACAAATATGCTACAAAAAAGTCTACAAATTACCGTATCTGTGTACAATAACTTTACAAGTATAAAATTAAATAATCTTTGTTTATTTTAAAAACAAAATATTCCATAATATAATTCATTTTTTGACATTTTGCTTATATATAGCCTAGCTATATACGGTAGCTAATACCGCATACAATAGTTAATATCGTACTATGTAATTACTTTGTTTCGTCTTTTTTTTTGGAAAATAAATTTTGCTCCTAATTTTTATTTTTTATGCTTGAAAAACTTTCATATTTTCTCATTAAAAAAATTTTTCTTTGCTCATATTTTTACCACAATTGAGATTGATAAAATTAAATGATTTGTTGCTAAAGGATCGATTGAAAGAAAAATAAAAAAGTTTTAGATGTTTGCATTTTGAAGAATTTTCGAAAATTCAATTCAAAATCGGACGAATGAAGTTAAATTTCTTTCTTACCTTTAGCGTCAATAAATTTCAGTTGTTCATATGTCAAAAATTTAGAAGCAATAAAATGTGTTATATAATTTATCATATAATTTTATTATTAGTAGTGCTTTATGCTAACAACATTTTATCTATTATATGCAACTTTTTTTTTTTTGAAAAAAAGATTTTCAAATCTGAAACACTAAACATTAATATCAAACATTAATAAATATTTTAAAGAATGATTAAGATATTTAAAAATGTGAAATGTTCATCTATAATATACTATGTATATAGAAACACATATATATGTATTTTAAATATGGAATATTTTGAAAAATAAATTTTTCATTTTTTTACCTTTGTTTGCATATAGTAATACCGTGTACGGTAACTAATATCGTACACGTGTAGCTAATACCGTATACAGTAACTTATATCGTACTACGTGCTACGTAATAAGTATTATGTAACCTTAAGAAATAGAAATTGAGCGCATTTTCTTTTTATTAAATTTCATATAAATTTAATTAATTCCATAAATTTTGATTATGTTTTGTCATCTAAAACATTTTGCTGTCAACTATATGTTTTGTCATTTTTATATCGTTTTACGGAAAAAAAAATTCCGAAATCGCCCAATTATTAATTTTATTTAGTATTATGAAGAATTTAATTCAAACTTTATAATCTATGCAACTGATTGGTTATCAAATTTATGTTCAATTTATTATTAAATGTAATTTAACTGTAACTGGGATAAATGGATCAACTTTGGCTTGTTTTACTGCTTCAGCTATCATTCATGAAAACTATTTCAATTCGAACAAAATGTCCGTTATGCATTCGTTATAGACATTTTGAGCAGAAGGTATCCATCATTTACAATTACAAATAATTCGTAAAATTTAATTTTTTCCGATTATCATTCCGAAATTTGAGTTTTTTGTTACTATTATGATGAAATTTAAATTTCACCATCATCATGATAAAATTTTGATTATGATCTATTGTGAAATAAACTATAGTAAACTTTGGTTTTCTTTTTTTTCAGTTGACATATTGGAATTAAATTTTTTCTGATTGATAAGTGGGAAAAAGTTCAAAATTCTATTTTTGTATACGAAAAATTTTTCCTCTCTTTTCCATAATAATTTATTTTAACTTGGAAAGTTCAAATTGCAATTTCTTTTTTCAAAATTTATTTCAAAAATTTTATTAGCTATATGTACACACATAAAAGTCACATATAAAGATAACGATAATAAACAGAAATTTTACTTCATCTATTTCTAATAACTATTTAAAATTTATATTCAAAATATTTCCGGTTAGGATGCATTATAGTTTATATAAAAAGTAAAACATAAAAATTTTAACATCAGCTTATTTATAATAAGTATTGTTTAAATTGAAAATTTCTTTTAAAATTATTCAAAATTAAAACAAGATAAATTATAATTTTTAGATGATTGAACAATGTCCGTGTGTGAAGCCACCCGGTAGTAATGAATGTTTATCATATGATAATCGTTTACAAGCAGCAAACATTGACGAAGCGTTGCATACATTTCCGGATCTATCTAGTATGACAGAAAATGCATTACCGCTAGTTTCGGATGAGAGTAAAATTATGATGAAATCTGTTTTACAATTTTCGCTTCCACAAAAAACGGTAGTAAAAAGAATTTTTTAATATTTAATTAAAAAGAGAGAATTTAATTTATTCATTTGCTAGGATTATTGCTTAATTAAAATGTTTCATTATGATTTGCTTTTTAATAACTTTCAATTTGATCCATTCTTTTTATTTTTTTTTTTTCTATTTCCTATTTGAAATTACTTTCAATTAATTAATTATGATGTATGTTATTTGAGGCATTATGTTGAAATAAAGAATGTTATTTAGGTCAAATGAATAATGTAGAAAGATTAGCGAGTTGAATTTAAATAAAATTTTCAACTATTTAAAACTTCATTGGTTTATGAATATGTTGAAAAAAAAAAAAGTGTCAAACATACAAAAATTTATATGTAAAATCATTAATATATTTCATTAAGTAAATGATAATAATTTTTAATTCAAACAAATAATACTGAAAGATTATCAAATTAGATTTAAATGAAATTTTAGATTTATAAAACTCCGAAGATGTATAGATGTGATGGAAAAGAATGTCAAGCATGCAAACTTTTAGTCACCAATGCATTCCACCGAGCGAATGATAATAATTTCCAGGCAGATAGCAGCGCTATCACTCAATTATCAGTTGACATCGATGAATCATTGTGCATGAAAAATCGGTCTATTTCAAGAAATGCAGTAAAATTTTATTTTATTCAGCAAATTAAATTTTGATCAAAATTATTTTCAAAGAAAAAACAAAAAGCAAAGAGAAGAAAAAATAGTGCGCTGAGTCATATCAATTGATTAATTGAAAAATTTATTTCAATTTTTCAAAGAAATATTTAAAAGATTTTGCAGATATTACTTCGTTTTTTTTTTTTTTTTTTCTCCTTTTTAGAAAAAGTATCAGTTAATTTTAAAGATTAGTTTAAAATGTGATCGTTTTTATTTAAAAGATATGGAAAAGTCATTTTTTTAAAAAAAAAAAAAAAAAAAAAAAAAAATTAATTATGATAAATATTGATTATACATAGAAAGGTAATTTGTAAGTGAAATAATTTAAAAGGTAAATGATGGAATTGAAAATGCTACTGTAACTGAAGAATTGCCAGCTCATATAGAAGAATTCATTAGCTTATTAAAACCAAAAGTACGAAAACGAAGGAACTGGAAAGAATCAAAGCAAAAATGTAAACTAATTTATTGATTATTAATAAATAACATTGCTTTCTTTTTTACCTAAAATAAATTAAAAATTAAGAATAAATTTATATTAATTATCTGAGAATTTTTTATTTTTTAAATCAAATATTTTAATTGTTATAAAAAAATTATCCTTTTTAAAAAGATTATTTTTATTTTTTTTAAGCAAATAATTGCATCATAGCTAAATGACTAATTTAACTGTAACATATTAATTACTGAAAACAAAAGTAATGAATAAAATTTAAGCAAAATTTAAGCGACTGTAATATTCAATTAAAAAATAAAAAAAAATTTTCAAATTTTTAACTCATTATTTTTAGCTTTTCATAAAATTATATATACTGCTAGAAACAAAAAATTATTATTTATAGTTTTTTTTTTTTTTTGCTTAAAATTTGATAAAAATTCGATAAAGAACAAATGCATTTAGTTTTATGAATTTTAATTTAAATAATATGAAATTAAAAATATTTCATCGTATTTTTTAATATTTTCTTTCAATTATAGTATTGGGTTCAGCAATAACGATTAGTTGTAATTATAAAAAAGGTGAAGAAATTGTACAAGGTTGGACCGGATTGTGTAATTTATGTTGGCAATGGAGAAAGCTACCGGCTAATTATTTTCCGGTTTTGCTTAATGAAGTTTCATGTGATACCAGTGATGTGGGATGTCTTTCAGGTTTTATATTTATTTGTTTGTTTTTTCTTTTTTGCTTTTTCTTCATTTAATGATGCTTATTATATGTAAAAATAAGTGAAAAAGTTTTAGTTTAATTCTTTAAAATTTAAAAAACATTCATTTCTATTCATTAATTTATATATTTTTATATTTTATCAATTATTTCGATGATAGTATTAAACTAAATTTATTCATCCTTTCTTTTCTTCAATCTCTAAATTTTTGTTTGGGAAAAATTTTAAAACAAAAAAAAATTATTCCTTTTGAAATTAATGAATTAGTTTGAAAAAATTTAGTTTGATAATTTAAAAAAAAAAAATTGATAAATAAAAAAAACAAAATAAAATCATGGTAGTCTAAGTAAGACAAAAATAAAAGAGACTAAACTAATTACTTAAATAATTGATAATCCTTTATTTAAATTTCATTGATGTTTAATTCATTTCTTAATATTAAATCATTTTTCCCTCTTCTCTTTTTTTGATAGTTAGAAAAAAAAAAAAAAAAAACACTTCACTAATTATAAATTCAGGTTTTGGTAATTGTCGCCCAGTGATGCGTACCATAAATGTTCTCCGTAATGCGGGTACCCAAAAATCTACCCGATGGGTACAGGAATCAATCAATACAATATCAGCCTGTGAATGCCAGGTGGAAATTGGAACTCCGTTACATTCACTTGTTTTACGTTAAATTAAACTTTTTCCCACTTTTTTCTTTCTATTTAATTATTATTTGTGAAATTTTAGAATTTTAACTAATCAAATTTTTGTAAATATATTTTTTGAACCTTTTTTTTTTGTTGATTTTAATTATTATTATTATTATTAGCAGAATAATATGTTAATCTAATTTACTATTATTGTTACCCATAATTTTATATAATTATTTGGTTATCATTTGACAATTGGCTCGTTAATATTAATTCATTGAATTATTGTTCATGCTATAATCATTGCTACTCATCGTTTTCTTTGTTTATTTTAAATTGTAAGCAATTTAAATTATCAAAAAATGAAAAATGTTCCGATATATAACTTTTTATTGCTATCTAAAAAAAGGATGCATAATTTTATTAGCAAAATTATTTTAATTATTTCATTTCTCTTAATTCAAAAAGCAATATTTTAGTTCAATGTTTTTATTAATTCATATACATATATATTTTTTTTTGCCAATATTTTATTGTTATAGAAAGCAAAAAAAAAAAGTATGTTACTCAGGTATAAAAGATTAAAGGTTTTTACTCTACTGAAACTCTCAAAGGTTTATTGCTTTAAAAAAGCTTTTACAATATATTATTTACGAAATTTAATGTAACTTATTTTAAAATGAGTGTTTTTTTTTTTTCAAATTGATTATATATAATTAATTAGAAGGAAAAAAAAAAACGGACAGTAACATTTATTTGCTCAACGTATATGTTCCGAAATTTAAAAAAAAAAAAAATATGCGCAATTTTTTTTTATTGCTATATGCTTATTTTCTAATTTGGTTTAAATATTTAAAAATTATTTTCGAAATGCTTCCTGCTGCTATAAATTTTAGCCATTTTTCTTCTATTTTATTTGCTTTCATATATTGTAATTAGTAGTTATAAAATAAATTAAATTTCTTGATGAAAAGATGAAATTTTATTTCTATCAATAAAATTCTATTTTAAAAATGTAATTAAACTTTTTTTTTGGTATTATTATTTAATCATTTATAACCTTCAAAAAAGTCATAGTAATATAAATAACACATTTGCTATTTCATTGTTTACGACTATTTTTTTTTTTTTTTTTTTTTTAAGCTGAAAGCATTGAAAGTTTGGAATTGAACAAATGAATAATTATTATAATTTAGAAGCAAACGAAACGATTATTATTACTTTTTTTTTTTTGTTAAATTTTTTGTATTATGAATGCGTTTAATGTGTTATAAGCGATGCTTAAAAACTTTACACTTAAATAAAAGTAAGTATTTCATTTAATATATCAATAAAAAAAATTTTTTTTTTTTAAAGAAATTCAAAGAAATCAAATTTTGCATTGTAATATGAAAATTTACAAATTATTACAATCACATTTTGTTAAATTTCATTTTTAACAACTAACAAAAATATGAATGTATTCTAATAAACTTTTTTTCATTACTACAAATTGATTTCAGTTCATAATTTCAAAATTAATTCGACAACTAAAATTCACATTGTTAAGTTTTTTTTTTTTTTTTCTATCACTTTATCACATTACTTATATCTTTTATCACTAAGTTGATTTAAAAATAAGTTAGAGAAAAGACTGAAAATATAAATTTTTAGTTTTTTAAGAAAAATAAATTTAAATTTTTCATTCATTTAGAGTATTAAAAAGAAACAAAAAGGAAAGGAAAAAAAAAATGAATTTTGAAGAATTTTTTATATTACAATTTAAATACAAGGATTGTTGGAATAAAAAGAGAGAGAGAGAGAGGGAGAGAGAGAAAAAAAAATCGCATTATTCTTTCGAATTTTATCATATATGCCGGATTTGGGAACAAACTTAATTCAAATAAATTTGTCAAACGTCAAATCTATTTTATTTATTTGTTGTTGTAGTTGTTATTGTTGTTTATTGTTGATGTTATTGTTGTCATTGTAATTGTCGTTTGTTTCTTTTTTATTGATTCCTCAGTCGATTTTGAAGAATATTCCATCTATAAAAATTTAAATTTGGAAATGAAAATTATTGCTAACAGATTTTGAATGATATAAGTAAATAAAATAATTTTAAAAAATTTGAAAAAATTGCAAGAGAAAATATGAAAGAAAAACCCAAGATGAAATCGTTTTTGAATCGGTTCCGGCATTTTTGATATTTGCGCATCATCAGGAATTGCAACTTGATCATCGTCACCAATCATAATTGGCCAACCACTGATGATGTATCTATGACAATAATTAAGTATATAATAATTAATTATTTATTTCATTTCTTTTTCTTTAATTATAATTCAATTATATTCTAAATTAATATTTCAATGAAATTTCTGATCAATTCGTTAAATATTGGCATTGATAACATAATTTTTTAATTTTAACAGAACTATTAAGATGATAACATTTATTTTTGTAGAAAAGTAAAATAATTGATAAAATTAAAAAAATTATGATCATAATAAATAACTAAATAAGAAATGAATTAAATGGATGAAAGAATGAATTTAAAAAGAAATAAATAAATAAATCAAAAAATAAGTAAATAAAATACTCAAAATAATATAAAAAAATAAATAAAGAAATATTAATAAACAAATGCAAGAATATTTTACAAATCTTTCTCTATTTTTTTTTTTCAAATACGATAATATCATTTGCATATTTACTGCTAATTTTTTTTTCAAATTTAATTAGTCTATCATTCGTCTTTCTAATGATAAATTTGAAATTTTCGTAAGTCAGACAATAAATAAAATACGATTGATTGATAAACTTACGGTCTATGGTGATAAGCTGATAATTGCATTGTTATCATGCAAAAGACAACCATTGTTAACAGATATGTATTTCGCATTATTAACATTTATGTTTCTGCAAAATTAATTATTTGTAATTTAGTATTTAATTTTTGTTAACAGAATTATTCAATTGAATTTAAGTGATATAAAGAATGAAAGAAAATCATTTTAAAATTACTGAATCATTAAATTTATAAATCAGTGAATTTTGTGAAAATTTTATAATTCTTTAACTTATATTATTCGATTAAATTGCAAATGGAATAAATTTGAAGGAAATTTGAAATTACTTTCAATTCTAACAATGTATCATTAATAAAACATTTGATTACTATTTACATTTTATGATAATTAATTGATAAATTAATTTCTCTCTCATTTTTTTCCCCTATAAACAAATAAATAATATAAAATTAATATAATAATTAATGTTAATTTTCAAAAGTATAATTTTTCAAAAATTGCAATCTATAAAGATATTAGAGGGTAGTAGCAAGTGGAATACTAATGAATCAACGATTGTTGGAAGTGAAAATATGAAATGTGCCGAAAAATATTTCATTGTCATTGCTATTTGGCTAATGATTGATGAATTTGCACCTTAATTAGTGCAAAAATAAAAAAAAAAAAATGCAAATTCAAGTTAATTCAATTGGTAAAAATTAAAAAATTTTATTAAAATCCAAAATTTAATTCTGTTTTTCATTAATTCAATTAAATTTATTTTATATTATTTTGATAAATATAATAGCAAATAATATGATACCAAGAAATTGAAATTGTAGTTAATTAGTGAATGCTCAAGAAAATGTAATATATTTGAAATGTTCAATTTTAATTTACATAATTTTTTTTTAGTTAATGAAATTTTGATCATAAAATGTCAAACAAATTCAAATGTTCTTTAATTTTTTTTTTTTTGCAATTTTGTTTCAATTAAATGTATTTAATTTAAAAAATAAGTGCTTTTTTTTATAAACTAAGAAATTGTAAAACAAAAAAAAAAAAAGCATTTAATTATTTTTAAATTAAATACAAATTACTGTAATGAAAAATTTCACATTTTGATACTAAAAGTTTTAAAGTTATATTATTTGTAATTATAAGTTAATGAAAATTTATAATATAAAAGCAAGCAAAAAAGAAAATGGATTGTTGTTAATTTGTTTATCAAATTAATTACATACAAACAAATAATGTTTTATAAATATTTTAATTGAATAAATTTAATTTCAATTTAATTTGTGCTTATTTAAGCAAAGAAAAAGCTTTCTAATAAAATAGGAAATTGCAAAATGAAACAAATTATTGTAAATATAGAGAAAAAATTGAATTATTTGATAATTTTAAACGAATTACTACTTTTTTTTTCCATAATAATTTTATTCTTTTCATAATTATTTTAATTTAAAATTTTAAACAATGTCTTATAAATTATTATAAATGAATAAATTTTGTGTTTAATTAAGCAAAAAAAAAAAAAAATTTTTTTCTAAGAAAATAAGAAATTATTAAATAAGTTAAAATATTATAAATATAGAAGAAAAATTAAATTCATTCATAATTTTAAACGTTTTCAATTAGGAATGATTTAAATAATAAAAAAGCAGAAAAATTCATTGCTCACAAACACACACAATCACAGTTATATATATTTGCTATTTGAAATGAAATTTGAAAAATAAGTGTTTAAAACTGGCAAAACTTAACCACCCATTACTATTAACAAAAGCATAATTACATACTTTAGTAAATGTCTTTGATTATCATTTTTTTTTTTTATATTTTTCCTTCAAAATTTTAAACAAATAAAGAAAAGAATTTTTTTTTGTTTTCACTATGCAAAATGTTATTCATTAAAATTTGACAAAATTTTCAAAATTTGAAGAGAGCACTTTTTTGTGATGATGAAAGAAAAAACAAAAAAGAAAAGGATGGAAATCTTTTGAGAAATAAAAATAAACTCAAATATGTTTTATAAAAAATATATTCAAATGAATGATAATTAATAAATAAATAATTTAATAAGCAGATAAATTGAATTTTGTGCGTTGTTTGTGTATGCTTAATTAATTAAAAAAAAAAAAATTGTTTAATTAAAGAATTATTTTTCAATTATATCAAATTGTATAGCAGAAATTAAATTATGTGAAAAGAAAACAAAAATAAAAAAGTAATTTTATGTTGTTTAATATTATTATTGTTATTATTACCAAATCGTATCATATCATACATATTTCTGATAATATTACAAATATATGTTATAATTGTTTTAATATATATTGCTGAGTATTTGATGTAGTATTTTTTAAAAATTTTGACAGGATTTTTTAATATTTTTCTTATGTTTTTTTATATTTTTGATAAGATTTTTCGATATTTTTGTATGATTTTTTAGTATTTTTGTTATAATTTTTCAATATTTTTGATAAGATTTTTTAATATTTTTGATAAAAATTTTAAATATTTTTGTATGATTTTTTCGATATTTTCGATATGATTTTTTAAATATTTTTGATACGATTTTTAAATAATTTTGATAAGATACTGATTATTCAATCTGACATTTTTGGGCGATATTATCAGTTATCAGATATGATACTTTTCATATTTAATATTCGATATTATATGGGCGATATTTTGTTTGTGCAACTTTACTACTATTTAATATCGTTCGACGTTTTTGATATGATAATGAATGTGTGATATAATCTTACTGAACATCATAAACTGATATGTTAGTGTTTCTAAATAACTTTATCAGTGATCTGGTATAGTCTTACTAATTATATGATATGATGTGATATGATGTTTCTGATATAATTGATAAATCGATTTATAATCCATCAATTTATCTATTCGTCAAGGAAGCAATTATCACTAATCATTAAATGTTATCATCAAACTTTAACATTTTTCTTATCTTTAAAACAACACATTAATTTTGCATTTGCATTTTCAATCTTTTATATTATGCTAATTTAATTCATCGTCATCTTTCTTTTTTCCATTCTTCTATTTCATATTTATTTATTTCTACATTTTAAACAAATAACTTCCGGTTTTCCTGTTTCCTGATCCTGACACTCGCTTTTTTCTCACTTTCTTTTCGGTTAATTTTTTTTTCTTTCTTTCTATTATTCCTTTTGTCATATCTTTTTTGCTTCAATGCCTGCATTTTCATTTTTTTTTTACTGCTAAAATCAATGCACTTATTTTGAAAGTATTTGAATGATTGAAGAATAAGCGCAAAGGGAGCAACAATTGAGGAAAAAAGAAGTATAATAAGGACAAAGTGAAGGAAAAAAAGTAAAATAAAATAAAATGAAATTAGCTAAGAAATTATTTCACATCTCTCTCTCTCTCTCTTTTACTATTTATTCATTATTTATCTTTTCATGCTCCTTAATAGACTTTTTATTGATTATATTTTGTTGTTTTAAAACTTTATCCCAAAGCTCTAGAAATTTTAGACTTTTTTTTATCGATTTTTTCTTTCCTTTTCTTTCATTTTCCTAACCATTACAAATAACAATAACAATAAAACAATTTAAAAAAAAAAAAAGAAATCTAGCAATGACAATAACAATAATACCAACTACAATAATATCAACAACAATAACAACAACAGCAACAACAATAACAATAACAACAGCAAATTCTATTTTCGTTTTATTTTTATTGATTCCACTTAAAGAATACTTCTAATATTCCATTTCTCTCCTCATTTCATCCTTCCACTTTTACTCTTTCATTCTCTCTAAATTCTTTTCCATTTATTTTTATTTTCAAAGATAACAACAAAATTGTGTTGCGTAAGCTTCTGAATTAGCTTCTGAGCTTATTTAGAGTAAATCCTATTTTCCATACTTTTACAACATCAAAAATCATTGCACAAACATTTAAACATATATCAGTTTTATCAGCTCATCATCATCATCTCATCCTTTCCAATTTATCTTTTCACTTCAATAAATATATCAAAACAATATTTCCTTTTTTTATTAATAAATATTTCAAAAAAAAAAAAAAAATGGATGGTTAAATTAATAAATTATACTTTTAATCCAAAAAGTAAAATTAGCACAAAAAAAAAGGAAAGAAAAAAGAATTTTATCACAAACAAAAATAGAAATAAATCATTTTACATCTGAAATATTTCCTTTTTTTTTTTTGTATTCAAAAATCATATTTTATACTTTAAAGAAAAAAAAAATGTTTTCAACATTCAATTACCAGAAAAAAAAAAAGAAATCGATTCAACTTTTCAATTATTAGAAATGCATGCAAAATATGAGATAAGTATAATTATAATTTAATTAAATTGAAGTAATAAAATGACTAGCTTGAATCTTAAAAAAGAAAAAAGTGAAGAAAAGAGTACTTTTCAGTTATTGCATATTTTTTCATTTATCAAAATGAATTTTCCTTTTTAAATCAGTATTATCGATAAATTAATTTCAAAAAAAAAAAAAAAAAAAGAAAAAAAGCAATGAAATTGTAAAATTTTTGGTGATTATTTTGTATTTTTAATAATTTTTTTTGACGAAATTTTCGTCAAAAATTTTAGATTTGAAATTATTATTATTATCATCAAAAAATATTATCACCATCAAGAAATTGTTATCATCATTACTACTACTAATAATAGCTATACTCTCATATACTTATTCTTAATTTTCTCTTTTCAAATATCAAAATCATAACAAAAAATTTATAAAAAGCTCAATTTTTAGCAAAATAACTGCTAAAAGGAAAAAAAAAAAATTAAAAATGAAAAATAATGTAAGGCGGAAAATGAAAAGAAAACGAATTAAATTAGAATTTTTTTTTTTTCTTTTTAGAAAAATTTTTATAAAAATATATTTTAAATGAAATGAGTGCGATTTTTGTGCACTAACGTACCTCTTATAAAATAATCTATTAGAAAGCAAAAAAAAAAAAAAAAAAAAAATTAGAAATACTCAAAATTTTTCCAATCATTTTTAAGTAATTAAATATTTATATATAATAGTTTAATTTTTTTAAACAGCTTGACATCACATATTTTTTGCGTATCAGTTCT